TCTGTAAGCAACACCAGAATGTTTCCTTCCTTACAGGATTAGGCCAGTAATTTCTTCTAACAACCGGTTCTCCGAGCTTAGAATGTTAACCAGTTCTAGCGAATAGATGTGAACTGGTAGAATCCCAACCCTGCATATATACACACACACAGAACTAAGTATAACCACTTTCTGATATTTTTTTTCATCGACCTACTGATTTGTAGAAACCTGAAGGCCCTATCTCCCCCCAGAGTTGCATTGTGCAAGTTTTTCCCCCAGTTTAGTCCAACTCTGCATAAGTCACACGGGTGTGTTCTGACCTAGGCTTTCTTAGAAAGCATAAAACACAATCTTAGTCCCGGCAAAACCTCTTTTTTTCCCCACAGCTGTGAATTACGTTCATTCACAACCTGTAAGTCTTCCCAAACAGTCTTTCAGGGGAATGTTGATAAAACACCCACCTTATCACACTTGGAATTCTGCCAGAGAACTCATTGCCAAACGCAGGGCAAAGCCAAACTTGACACAGAGTCAAACAGAACTTTTCACCACTTGAATCGACCAGACAAACTAATTGCTTCCTGCAAAAGCTCATGTCCCGTTCACTCCTCTTTTATGTCCTATTGGAGGGGCCGACTATCTCTGAGGTGTGGCTTTACTCCTGAGTCGACCTTGCTTTCTCAATTGTTCTTGTCCTCTGGTAGCTCTGCGCATGCGCAGGCTGGGAACCGGTTCCAGAAACACCCCCCCCCCGTGTCACTGCTGTCTGAGCCTGAAAGCATCCAGCCTGCCTTGGCCCCATCCCTGCCTCCGATGCAGAGCCCTCGTCTGAGCCCTCCTCAACCTCCAAAACTGGCCCAGGTTCCTCCCCAACCTCCTGTCTGACATTGCTGCCAGCTCTGTCAACCACCGGCAGGCCACAACAGGGTGTAACACAGTTAGTCGAAAAATCTAAAGTTATGCCAGGCTGGGAAAAGAATAGCTGTCTTTTGAGTCATGATCTGGGCTTAATTTGCACAAATGCTTCTATTATTCTGCCTGATATGTTATAAAGCCATCTTTCACTAACAGATAAATATATATATTTATAGCAGCGCTATTGTTGCAAGGGGAATCTTAAGGCTGGGCTAGATATCACTTTCCTGCCATCTATAGAAATCTATAAATCTATATTATTTATCCATTCACACTCCTCTCCAGCCTGCTACTGGATTTCTTTAGATGGGTGCGTAATATGTTTAGATCTGCACAAATGCACACCTACCTACATATAATCGCATTTTTCAATGAAGTAGGATAACTAACAGCAAGATTGTTTATTTGGAAACTATCATTTAAATCAGGGATGTCCAACGCTGGCCACTTTTTAAAAATGGTGGACGTCAGCTCCCAGAATTCCTCAATCAGCCAATGCTGGCTAGAGAATTCTGGGAGTTGAAGTCTACACCTCTTAAAACTTTCCAAGTTGGAAAATCACTGTCTTCAAGGGATGACTCTTTTTTATATCTTTTTTAGTTGTTTTTACATACAATGTTGAACTGCGTACTGTCTGGGTTGATTCGTTCACATAGTAATACTTATTAAGTTTCTAATTTCTACCTCTTTTATCCAGCCTATGATAAAAATAAGACCCAAGTTCAAAAATATTCTGTGTCTTCTTTTTCTTTTATCTTCAATGTTAATCTGTCCATTTCTGCACAGTCCAATATTTTTTTAAAATTATATCTTCTTCCGTAGGTATTTCCCCCCTTTTCCAATGTTGTGCAAATACAATTCTTGCTGCTGTTTAAAATATGCAATAGCAAATATACGTTCCCTTTATCATATTTTTCTGGTATTATGCCTAACAAAAATAATTCTGGCTTACAATCTAAATACTGTCTTAACAAAGTATGTACTTTTGTCCTTTTGTTTTCTGCTTTTAGGCATGTCCACCCCAAGGGATAATATGTGTCCTGTTTTTTTATTGCATTTCCAACATTCGGTAGACATATTTTTAAATAAGTTTGCTAGCTTCTCCAGTGGTAGGTGCCACCTATAAAACATGGACGTTGAAGGACCCGCAGCTCTTAATTTCATAAGACTCATTCAAGGACTTACCAAGTGAGAAGAGCATGTAAGCATTCAAATGTGGAGTTTGTGGGCACCATTCCCATCCAACACAGGCTTTAAAGATAATTTGCAACCTGTTCCTTCCCCTTCCCCCAGGGGTGGGATTCAGCCGTTTCAGGATGGTTCGGGCGAACCGGATGTTAAATTTATATCTGATTCGCTGAACCAGTAGTTGAATTGACCAGCTGGCCTCACCCACCCTGCCTCTCTCCTTCCAGGAGTCTCCACGCAGCCTGTTTTGGATGCAGGTAAGTGCAGGGTCCATGTGGAGGCTCTGGGAAGGTGAAAAACAGCCCACCCAGAAGTTCCGGAAGTCCAGAGATGGGCCTGTTTCCGGCTTCTGGAGTCCAGGAGAGGCTGTTTTCACCCTCCCAGAGGCCCGAGGGAAGCCTCCGGACTATGGGGAAAGCAAAAAACGGCTTTCCTGGAAGTCCGGAAATAGGCCTGTTTCCAGCTTCCAGTGGGCCTCTGGAGCCGGGGGAGGCCATTTTCACCCACCCGGAGGCCCGAGGGAAGCCTCTGGACTATGGGGAAGGTGAAAAATGGCCCTCCCGGAAGTTCCAGTAGGCCACCCACCCATGGCCCCGCCCACCCAGCAATCATGCAGAGAAGCGATTGTTGGGATTTTTGAATCCCACCCCACCTTTATCCCCCCAAATTGATAGCAAGTGCCGGTCCGTATCCCTCCATCTTTTTTAATAAACACCAAATGGAATATTTTCCTTTCTGCAAAGTGATTCATTTCCCCTTCCCTTCCTTTGAAATGTACTTTCGCCTACAATCGGCAATAAATCTCTCTGCGCTTCGTGTCACTCATGTCCATGGTTAAGCCTGCCATGAGTAAACGGCTTGCTTACGTCTTTCTGCCCTCCAATCTGGAGTTCCTGTCTTCATCCGACAGCATTTTAGCAGCCTTATTTCCTTTACACCTCCCGCTCTCCTGATTTCAAGGGGCTGGTTTTCACAAAACACCCTTATCAAGGCAGGTTTTTTAAAAAAAACCATAGCATCTGTGTTTGCGTAACTTCTGGATGTCTATGGAGCTTATCGGTCATCCAGGTCACGCTTTTGAAGAAGCTTCTTGGATGAGAATCTAAACCAGTGGTGGGATTCAGCCAGTTCGCACTGGTTTGGGAGAACTGGTTGTTAACTTTCTGAGCAGTTTGGTGAACTTGTTGTTGGAAGAAATCTTTAGGGCAGAGAACCGGTTGTTAAATTATTTGAATCCCACCACTGATCTAAATGTCTCCAAGAGAATTGTTTTAAAAAATGTAGAAGGTCCAGTTGCCTTTTGAAAAAAGCTGCTTTGGGACATAACTTCTGAAACTTGGCTAGTTATAATCCAGGTTAGGCTTCTTCTTCGGTTTTGAAGATACTTCTTGGATGAGAAGCAAAACGTCTTCAAGAAAAAAAAAAAACAAAGTTGGATTGTCGTTTGAAAAAGCACCTTTGGAACAACCATGACCTGGATGACTGACAATCTCAACAGACATTCAGAAGTTATGCAAACATAGCCACTATTTTTTAAAACTCTGATTGCTGTTTGAAAAAGCGCCTTTGGGATATAACTTCTGAAGTTTGGCTAGTTCTAATCGGGGTTAGTTTTCCTTCAATTAATTTCTTGACTTTAAAAGGATTTGTTATATTTTGGATTTTTTTTTTCCCGGACCTTTTGAGCTGCGAAGGGAGAATGCAGAGATCTCGCTTCCAGTGTCGTGGACATAGATCAGGAGAGGAAGCGTAACTCATCTGGGCTTCCTTCTTCTCTACGCTTAACTTCCCATCTTTGAGGCATCCAGTGCTTCTCACCATAAGAGCTGAGTCATCAGGGTGACAATTGGACGCTTTCTCTGTGGATTGCAAAAAAAAAAGGAAAGGAAAGGAAATACATTATTCTTTATTTATTTTTCTACTGAGAGGAATACGGATGCCAACTTGACCCACATAATAGCAATATTCCTGGGCTCTTCCCCTGCAAATCCATTGAATCTTCTTTTCCAACCTACGCAGCTTTAATGTAGAGCACAGTGATTCGAAAAGGTAAAAAAACAATGTTCGGCCCTCGGTGTTATTAAGGAATGGCTGTATCTAGTGGTGGGATTCAATTTTTTTTTACTACCGGTTCTGTGGGCATGGCTTGGTGGGCATGGCAGGGGAAGGATACTGCAAAATCCCCAATCCCTCCTCACTCCTGGGAGAAGTTTACTGCAAATTCCCATTCCCTCCCCACCCCCACTAACCTGCTTTCCAGCTCCGTTCTCCTGTGCAGGGCAACAAAAGAAGACCCAGCCAATCAACTGGGACTCAGGAGACAGAGAATAGATGGGGGCGGGGCCAGTCAGCGATGGTTTTTGCCGGTTCTCCAAACTACTTAAAATTTCTGCTCCCGGTTCTCCAAAACTGGTCAGAATCTCCAGAACTGGTCAGAACCATTCAGATTTTCTTCTCAAAAAGAAGAAAGAGAGTTCAGAACAAATGAACACTGTTAAGATCAGAATAGCTGAATATCCAGGTGGGATTTTTTATAGACAAATATGGCTGCATTTGCCTTTCAGAAAATTATAGAGTTTTCTGTGTGGTTTTTTTTTTAAAGTTTTTTTTTTTTTATCTATTCAGATATGCTATGTAAATACCCAACTTCCTGGAAAAGGCTCAAATTTGGAGAAAGCTGGAAGAAAAGAGAAGAGGACGATTACCAGCAAGATACATAGATTCAGTTATAGTGGTAATAATGGTATGCTTAGGAAACCTAAATGACCACGTTAGTGTAGATGGTCAGGGAGAAAAATCTATGTACAGATAGTCCTTGACTTAACAACCATAGTAAAGGTAAAAGTTCCCCTCACACATACATGCTAGTCGTTTCCAGCTCTAGGGGATGGTGCTCATCTCCATTACAAAGCCAAAGAACCAGCACTGTCCGAAGACGTCTCTGTGGTCATGTGGCCGGCATGACTAAACGCCAAAGGCGCATGGAACGCTGTTACCTTCCCACCAAAGGGGTCCCTATTTTTCTACTTTCACTTTTACGTGCTTTCGAACTTCTAGGTTGGCAGAAGCTGGGACCAATAACGGGAGCTCACTCCATTACGCAGCACTAGGGATTCGAATCGCCGAACTGCCGACCTTTCTGATCGACAAGCTTAGCCACTGAGCCACTGAGCCTAACAACCATAATGGAGCCTTATGATTCATTGCAAGTCACGACTGTCAAAAAACAGGTCTCCCGCGTGACTGACCCAATTTTGCAGCAGTCGTTAAGTGAATGCTGCTGTTGTTAAATGAACCCCACCGTTAATTTGTTTTGGCCAATTTTGCTGAAAACCAGACGTCAATGCAGATTTTTCAGTAAAACAGTCACGTGATCTTGTGATACTGCGAAACAACCGATATGAGGTCATACGATCATCAGGAGCAGCCATCAGAATTTAGGAAGCAGCTCATAAGCATCTCCAGGTGCTCCGCCATAACTTGGCAACTAAACTTTGCACTAAATGATCGGTTGTGAGTTAAGGACAACCTGTAGACTCTAAGAACCCAAAACAATTTGATGGCATATCAATCAATTTCTATTTATCCTTTCACATTACAAGAGGAAAAAAATTACGTTTCAAAACATTTGGCGCACAAACGAAGTCAGTTTTTCTGTTTGCCACCAACTCACATTTTCGTTCTGAAATTGTGGTCTCTTTCTACATAGCTTTGTATTAGAGGCTTAACCTGGTTAAAGAAAGTTAGTTCGTCCAAGTTTCTTTTGCCCATTTTTCAGGCTGTTAGTTTTAATCTGGGTGGGTGTTTTTTTTCATGGTTTACTACATTGTTCAGACTTACCCTATTGGAATAGTTTATGGTTTAAGAATTGCAGGAGCAGAGAAAGTAAGATTATTTTGTGACCAAGCGAAATAGGAACATTGCAAGGATATGATTAAAAGAAAAATTAAGATGGCAGGTTGGACAGTGAATGTGAAGCTCTGGTTATTCACGTGGAGTTCTTGATGCTCTTTGAGCTTTAGAATTACAGAATGGGTCTCCATTCTCTTCTTAAAATTATAACCGTCATAAATATGAGTCAGTTGCCAAGCATCCAAATTTTGATCGTGTGACCACGGAGACATTGCAACAGTCATAAGTTTGAAAAAAGATGATACGTCACCTTTTTCAGGGATGTAACTTTGAACGGTCACTAAATGAAGAGTTATAAGTCAAGGACTACCTGTATATACCGCTATGGTTACATTCTGAACCAGGTGAAATGTCTTTATTGATTTATTTATCAATAGAATTTGCATGCTGCCTGACTCTCTTTGTAATCTAAATATCCTTTCCTCCAAGTTCTTTCAAAATAGCCCAATTATGCTTTGGTTTTATTTTCCCAAGGCAGGGCTCAGCTAACTGCCAACTTCTGCCAGCTCTATTCAAGAATGTTGAATATGATGGAGGAATCTTGAACAGTCAGCTTTCTAACCACTAAACCACAAGGAACCTTGTTTGAGGAAAAAAGAAGTCGGCTAGGCCTGAAACCACAGTGTTGATTGATGATGTGGCAGCTTCTTCTGGTCTTAACCCAACAAATTGTCTAGTTGCTCATCCTGGTACTACCATATTTTTTTGCAGTATAACACGCACCTAGCTTTGGGGGAGGAAAACAAGAAAAAAAATATATGCCTATGCCTCCCAGCCTATCGCGGCCTCCATGCGCCCCATTTTTGGCCTCTATGTGTCCCATTTTTGGCCTCCGCACACCCCATTTTCAGCCTCCATGCGTCCTGTTTTCGGCCTGTTCCACACAAATGAAGCTGTGAGTCAAGCCCACAGCTTCCACATCCCAGATCCAAATGGGCCATGGGCCAGTAACTATGTCACGGCCAGAAGTGGTATTCAGCAGGTTCTGACCAGTTCTGGAGAACCAGTAGGGGAATTTTTGAGTAGTTCGGAGAACCAGCAAATCCCACCTCTGACTGGCCCACCCCCATCTATTCTCCGCCTCCTGAGTTCCAGCTGATTGGCTGGGTCTTCTTCGGTTGCCCTGCACAGGAGAACAGAGCTGGAAAGCAGGCTAGTGGGGTGTGGAGGGAATGGGATTTTGCAGTAACCTTCCCCTGCCATGCCCACCAAGCCACAGGACTGATAGTAAAAAAATTTGAATCCTACCACTGGGCACGGCCCAGAGGTTGGGGACCTCTGCCTTATACCATTCCAGACAAATGGCTATCCAGTCTCTTTTTGAAAACAGAGATGATTACCACCCCCTAGAATCAGATATGATTGGACGAGGGAAACCTTTTACCTTTTTATTCCACTTTAGCAAAACCAGGTCTTCAGAGCCTTGCAAAAGAGGGTCAAACCGAGGCCTATCTTATCTACGGAGGGATGATGTTCCACATGGAAGGAGCCTCCATGGAGAAGGCCCTTCTTGGTCCCATTAGATCAGGTGGTCTTCAAACTTGACAGCTTGTGGACTTCAACTCCCAGAATTCCTCCTCCAGTCATGTTAGCTCAGGAATTCTGGGAGTTGAAGTCCACAAGTCTTAAACTGGCCAAGTTTGAAGACCCTTGCATTAGGTGGACTTCGTTAAAAGAGGAGAGCCGTAACATTCCTTGCCTCCCTGCTCTGGTGAGTCAAGTAGACATCATAACTGGGAAAAGACACTCCATCAAATAACTTGGTCCCAAGCCATGTAAAAGTTTCAAGGTGACTCCTTGGATTAGACCCGGAAGCAAATTGGCAGTTAATGGGGATGACGCCTGCGGATATCTAGGTCTACCGCAAAATTATGTGGACCGCGGCATTTTGAACCAACTTCCAGATAACTTTTCAAGGGCAGTCCCTTGTAGAATGCTTTGCAACAGTCAAGACCAGAGGTGACTAGGGCATGGGTGACTGTGAACAAGGATTGTTGGTGTCACATTTTCTCATCAGGATATTTCTGAACCCTACCGAGATGAACAGCAGATGGAAACTCCAAATTTTGAAAAGACAGCTACGACGTTGCTCATTTTCCAGACTTCAGAACTAACCTTGTTAAAAATTTGGCAAGCTCTGTCTGACGTAGGATTGCCAACTGATTAAACACAAAATCCTTGCTCTTGTGCTTTCTCAGCAGTTTGGTTTACAAAAATCAAACAAAGTTTTTCCACTGCACGGCTATATAAACCGTGTCAGATGTTCTTGTCCCTAGAATCAACCACTTTGGAAGACACGTGGAAAACAGGCTCTCATAGAAGTTGGCAGCCATCCCTTAAATATATATTTTTTAAACCATATAAAGATGTCAATTGGTAAAACTCACTTGGTAGCCGGTGGAAGAAGAGGAGAGGCAAGCTGCTATTCAAATGACTCCATTCCTATTGAACGTAATTTCAATTCCATCATTAATAACACATGTCACAACAAGAGAATTTATCCATCTGTCCTGGAGATAATTAAGCTCTCAAGATATTTAACACAGGACACATAGAACATCGGAAAGGAACGATCAGCCTACATATCTGGTCGAACTTTGCAACAGAAGATCTGTGGGCTTAACGCTCTCTGTTGCTGCACTTTCTTTATCCATATTAGCATTATCAAAATGTTCTGCCAACTGACAGTTTCATGTTTTGCTGTTGGTGCTGAAAACAGAGATGGCAAGAGCATAACCAGAGGAAGAATGAATGGAACAAGTCAATCGAGAGATGTTATTTATATCTTACCTTTATGATTTTTAAAAATAAATTAGAATATAGAATATTGGCCAAGTGTGATTGGACACACAAGGAATTTGTCTTGGTGCAAATGCTCTCAGTGTACATAAAAGAACAGATACATTCGTCAAGAATCATCAGGTACAACACTTAGTAAGAGTCATAGGGTACAATAAGCAAATCATACTAGGAAACAATCCATATAAATTGTAAGGATACAAGCAACAATACTGGTGGACTTCAATTCCCAGAATTGCTGAGCCAGGGGTGGGGAACCATGGGCCTTTCATGGCTGGCGGACTTCCACTCCCAGAATTCCTGAGGCACCAATGGGCACC